AAAAAGAATGCGTTCCCAAAATTTCGAATTTTATTATTAGGGGGGGGGAGGGTGGGGGGGCCGTTTATTAATAGGGGGTAGGGATTAATGGGATGATTCAACATGATCCCCAGCCAGGGTTGCTTTCTGGGATGGATAAAAACCTTGGGTTTACCACTTTTTTGAACCAGTTCTTTGAGATGTGGATCACGATGATCACGTTTTCTGAAGCTGGGGAGCAACCAATTCCCTGGAAATCCTGCAAATCTTCATGCTTCTTGGTTGATATGGAAATGAATTGGGAACACTCAACGCAGGATTTGACCCCAGCTACATCATGTTCCGTTGTTTTGCCACTTGATATCGCTTGATATCGCTTGTGTGGATGATATGCAGATCTCACCAAAAAATGCTGGTGAATATTCAATGTGAATACAGCATCCAAAAAATGGACACGTGAAATCCTGCGCTGCAATAGTGCTTACTGCTTTCTATCTGAGTTACTATAGTAATTTTCATGATCCATCTTTCTGTTTGGTCAAGTCCTTCATCAACCAAAAAGTGTGAACTGGCACCAAGACACCCAAGCTTTTGCATGCATGGTGGAGGCGGCGACGCTGCCAGTCTCCCATTCACCTTCGCCTTTCCAGACCTTGAAAATCGGATCATTGACTTGATTTGAACCGGGTGATGATTTCCCCTTATTTTTTGTTGGGAATATGGCTGCCGCTCCGAAGCGCTCAAAAACCTAACCAATGGATAGTTTTCTGGATTGATTGGCCCCTGGGTTGAATGGAAAGTTAGAGGAATGTTGATCAGGCCAGGCGTTGGCAAGGGTTGACGACAGGCAACAGATTCCCGAGTACCAAAAGTGGATAAATGGGGCCCACGTTCTACTACTAAGGACAGTTGGAGGGTAGAACTAGCCTGCCAATTCTATCTGAATTCCCACGTGAAACTCAGCCAATATAATAGGATGCAGGTCATAGATGGTCATAGGTCCATTCCTCTAAGTACGACCACACTTTTTCCATGGTGCTTCGTTATGGGGGCATCCAAACGGAAATGCCAAGACGGAGCTTCAACCCGTCCAACAAAGATGAGTGATCCGCTATCATGTGCCAAAGCAGGCATGATAAAGTACAAAGTAGTCATTTGAAACGAATCAGATTCATATAGGATATAGATTTAGATATAGATATAGACTTAGATATATGCAAGGATATTCCCATATACATATATTCATATTCCATTGTTTGTTTTTCTATTTTTTGGTCCTTGCTTCTTAGTAGAATATCTTGGTCCCACTCTTGTGTCACCGCCAGCCAGCTCCAGTCACCGCTTCCATCGAATTTCAGCTTGGACACCTCATCTAAAGCAGACATCCAGGCATCCTTCTTCCAAAGTTCCGTCGCCCATGCCTCCACCTGCGAATGGTTGGAGGCCAATAGAAAAATCATTGACCCACAAAAAATGATAAACAATAAACCACGTTTTTCACGCGGCGTCTTTAGCTCTCAAAATGATGAAACCACAAAATGTTGGTTCCTTTACCAAACATGGAACAGGAGAAAGGATGATGACGACATCTATCCATATCTATCCATCATCTACAAATAAAGAACAGAAAACAGTGAAACATTCCAACATGCGAAAACAGGTTGCCCATCCAAAAACGAATCGAACATGCAATTCATACATTTCATACATTTCATAGAGGGCCCAGGCATGCACAAAAATAACATCCCCAACAGATGGTGGCAATTCCCAAAATCTACCTGCTTAACCATTTCACCCACACCTTTATGACTATAATTGAAACCCATCCAAAACCGTAACTCCCATGCAAAATACGCATGGGAAACTGCAAAAAATCTTCCGGAAAAAAATCCTCCCCAGCATTTGTTGGCCAATTTTGTTGCCCAATCTTTGGAACCTCTAAGGGATCCAAATGTTTTCTCCTCTGCGCCGTGGGAGCCGTTCCCTCCTGGCTGTTGGCCGCCCGCAGTTCCTGCGCCAGGATCATCTCAGTCGCCACAGACCAAATGGTCTCGCTCCACCACCAAGGATCCGGGAGCTCCGGCAGCTTGGGCGGAAGCAGAAACGGGGACAAGTCCACCTGGCGCTGTTGGTTTTTTTGAACAGAGATGGGATATTTTTTGGGGATCTTACGGCGGGGTTGTAAAGGGTTACACACACACAGATATAAATATATATATATATTATATTATATTATATTATATTATATAATATTATATTATATTATATAATATAATATTATATTATATTATATTATATTATATTGGTTGATTGGTTGGTTGATTGGTTGGTTGGTTGGTTGATTGATTCATTCATTCATTGTGTGCGTGTGTGCTTGTGTTGGATTTTATGGGAGTTCATGGGACTTTATGGGCTTACAAGTTTTACTGTTTAAACCAAACCAATATTTTGACTATTCAATGGAATTCAATCGAATGGTTTAAAGGAACCTCTATGGGAAACAAGGGTTTTTAACCCGCAAAGAAAGGGCTTTCCTGTAAAATGTTCTGCAACCCAGTCCGAGAACCATGGGATGTTGGATGTCACATGCTGTAACTTTTTCGGCCCGCTGCAGGGTAGCACTACTACATACAATAAGCAATTTAGGTGATGTTTCAATGTCGCCCGGTGCACTCTGAAGCAACATGAAGCAACGAAAGCTGGCCGGCAATTGGGGGGGTCTAGGCCTGAGATGGCCTGAGAAGATGAGAGCCTTAGCCTTACGCCGCTATTTAGTTTGTAACCTTTGAAAAACCACCCCCAAGAAAAACAACTGGCCATATAACCCTAAAGCAAGGCGATCACACCACCCAGCACAGATTCTTCAAACTACGTTCAGATTCACACCTCTTCAGGCACAAGACCCTCCCCAAACAAGAACCTGGCCGACCTACCGGGCGAAAAAAACAAACGACTGTCTCCTTTGGCAGTCAGGCCTCCTCCACCTCATCTAAAAGTTTGAAGGCTTCTTCCAATTTCTCCTTGGGCTCTACATCATCGCTTGCAGCTGCAGCTTCTGCATCTGCGACTTCCACCGATTTGGTCTTGCTGAGACGTCTCTTCCTCAGTCGTGGCTTTGTTGGTGAAATCGACCGTTCTGACGGTTGAATCCCAATGTGTCAAAGCTACAGTCAAAACATGTTAAAACCCATCACAAACAGTGCTCCATGGCATTGATCTGCCTCAAAGCCTTTTCTAGAAGCACATAAATTCCAGTTTAACCCTGTATTGATAAACACCTAGGCTGTTTAGTTGTGGGGAAGCCTATACTTGGGTGATGCTTATCCGGCTTATCCTATTTTCGGGGAGGGGTTGACCAGAGAAAAAAATATGGTCTGCAGGTGCTTTGATCAACTACCTACAGCACAAAGATGGAGACAGTAGTAAGTAGCACTCTGCGTATCACCGATCATTTGGATCAACTTCTTTTCATGTCCCAACCAAATCCATTTATCCAATTGAATGTGATTTTGTTGGTGGGTTCTGGTTTATTAACAATTCTGGTGAGCGGTTCAAAATTATTGTGAATGGTTCGGGAACGTGAAGCGTTAGGGTCGCCCAGCCATTGACATCACTAAACATACGGGAATGGCCAGACAAATTGGCATATTCATATGAACATCAAGCAGCCTATCCCTTCAATTTTGGATGCCCATTGCATTACCAAACCAACCCCAACCATCTATATATGGCTATAGTTGGGTTTGTCTGAAAATAGAGCACCCCCAATCAAATGGATCCTCATCGGTAATTATCCAATTTAACGCGACGATCTTTGGGGTATGTCACCGAGGTCTATTATTCATCGGTATTTTAGATGGCTAAATCCATATTCTTCACCATTTACTAATCCACGTATTTTTACCATCGCCCTGTATGGATCAACCAGGATCAACCCACAATTTACCCTCTGGTAATTTAACATAGCTATTGAAAATGACCATTGATAGTGGATTTTCCCATTGAAAATTGTGATTTTCCATTGCTATGTTAGTTTACCAGAGGGTACCCATCGTTTTCCCCATTTTTCCCCCATCCATCGAGCATCTTCCGCTTCGCCTCCGCTGGCTCCGCTGTCGCGGAAGTGCCAAGCCGCTTGGCAGTGCCGGCCTGGAGCAGGGCCTCCATGGTGGGCGGCCACAGGGTGGAGAGGCGCACGGAGAACCTGGCCACGGGATGTCATGAAAAAGATCGGAGGTTTGTAACATTGAAAGTACCCTCTGGTAATTTAACATAACTATGGAAAATCACCATTTTTCATGGGAAAACTCACTATAAATGGTGATTTTCCATAGTTATGTTAAATTAACAGAGGGTAAATGCTATATGCATGGTATATGCAATGCTTTATGTGAGGCTTAGTGGTGAAAAATCCATCACATTATACATCAATGGTGTATTTATCATATGATGTAATGTGATAAGTCCATGAAATCCAATAATTATATAAACCTTTCCCAAAATCATCATAAATGGGTGGCTGCACCATACCCAAACGGTGGCTTTGGGTTTACCACATCAACCCCAAAGAAGGATAGATGTTTTAGCTTTTATAGGATTTGACTGTTTGACTCTTCGATCTTTTTGGGGGATGCGATAACTATGATAAATGGTTAGCAACTGCTTAACCATCTTAACCCGTGCTTGTCCCCCACTTAGATCCACTCGCTGGAACAACTACAATGGTTACCCTCTGGTAATCTAACATAGCTACGTATTGAAAATCACCCTTTTTACTAGGGAATCATCTGACCTATTTTCATCTATTTTCCATATAGTTAAATTACCAAAGGGAGGTAACATTTGGAAACTGGATAACCCCAGAATCAGGAACTTGGGCGACATAAACCACTTATGATCCGTGGGATGATCCTCCAAGCAGACCATGATGATGATGACGACAATGATAAAGAATGATACTAGCTGTAAATGGATGTCAATGGCAATTTTCCATAGCTATGCTAAGTTACCAGGGGGTAACCCCCTGGAATCTTCAGGGCAATTGCATGGAGTATTACTCACCTGGTGAGTGGAAACCTCTGGGTGGGAATCCGTGGATCCATGAGATCCATGATGATCCGCTGGAAAAAAAAAACACATCACCCCGTTTAAAAAAAAAACACCCTAAGAAAGCCACGTTAAAAACCTAGGTCACTGGTGCCAAGTTTTCCCCTATATCCTTGATGGGGGAAAAATATTCCATAAAATCCAATGGGTTATTAAGTATCACCATATTTGGAAGCTCACCAAAAAAATAGACATCGTGCTTGAATCATCTCACATCCATATGTTTGATGTTCATAAACCACAGGGAGAGAAAAAAAAAAAAACTAGAAAGCAAAAGAAAATCATGGTGAAATCCCATGAAAATCCATAACTAGCAAGGTAAAAACCCTGGAAAACATCGATTAAATCATTGCTTATGACGAAACCTCAATGGGACGAATTATACTATGATCGTATTCTGATGTCCTAAACCCGATGAGTTCGGCCATTGATGATTTTCCCCAATCCTCACCATGGTGAGGTCATCACAGCAAACACCCATCCACAAAATCATCCAAAAAAAAACAACAAAATCACTGAGAAAAAAAAACGACCATACAAGGTGGTGCCCCAGTTCGTTAGCTAAGTTGGTTTATAACTCCAATAACTATGGTTTATGGTAGACATATCGAACTACTTACTATGGTTTATAAATTTATAAACCAGCAAACATCACTGGGGGGGGCACAAACCTTGTAGGAAAATCACTATTTTTAGTGGGAAATTCCACTATCAATGGTCATTTTCAATAGCTATGTTAAATTACCAGAGGGTAAATTGTAGATATCTTTGGAATTCTATAGTGGGAAAATCATCCATAGGTAGATTGTTGATTTACCCATTAAATGGAAAATGCCAGAGTACTTTAAAATACCCATTATATATATACCCATTATGGATTGATTGATACTATTGGATGTTACCCATGATACTATTGATTTGATACCGCTGTTTGGTGGTTGACCCACCATGGCTATGTTAAATAATGCCATAGTACTATAGTCTTGTAGGAAAATCCCTATTTTTCATGGGAAAATCCACTATCAATGGTCATGTTCAATCATTTTCAATAGCTATGTCAGCCATTACCAGAGGGTAAATTATAGATATCTTTGGAATTCTAGAGTGGGAAAATCATCCCTTTCGGTAGATTGTTGATTTACCCATTCAATGGAAAATGCCAGAGTACCCATTAAAATACCCATTCTATACCCATTATGGATTGATTGACTATAGCTATGTCAGCCATTACCAGAGGGTAAATTATAGATATCTTTGGAATTCTAGTGGGAAAATCATCCCTTTCGGTAGATTGTTGATTTACCCATTCAATGGAAAATGCCAAGAGTACTTTAAAATACCCATTATATACCCATTATGGATTGATTGACTATAGCTATGTCAGCCATTACCAGAGGGTAAATTACCAGAGGGCACCATTTCTATGGGTATGGGTCAAAATTAGGTACCCCAATAATTGGATGGTTAATACTAAACTAGACTAATTCACATCTGTGGTCCCACATCGGTCTTCCATTTTGACCTACCATAAAATTGATTTGTGGAAAATCCCAACCATAAATGGAGGTTTCTAGCTGGGAAAATCATCTATTTCTATGGGCCATGGCTTCCATGGCTATGTCAGCCATAACCAGAGGGCACCATTTCTATTGCCATTAAACCTCATTCAATCCCATTAAAACATTAAATGAAATCCTCATTCAATCACCATTAAACCTCATTCAATCACCATAAATCACCATTAAATCCTATTGTTTCCCATCAAGTCCTCACCCAGAGGGCACCATAAATCAATTGCCACAGTCACTGACTGGCCACGATCTGCGTGGCCAGCTGCGAGGCCCAGGAGCGCCCAGAGAGCTGCCTTCCCAGGCGCCGCAGCGCCTCCGCGCGGCCGCGCTCGTTGGGGAAATCCGCCGGGATGGTCTCCAGTTGCACCTGGGAAAGCCCAAAAAACCGGGGGAAAACATGGGGAAAACCACTGGGAAAGTGGAATTTCATGGATTTTTAGATGATTTTTGAAGGCAAAACATGATGAATGATGATGTTTTGTCATGTGTTGGGCGTGAAATCTGTTGAAACATTGATGTTTCCGCATTGACATGATTTCAAATTGGCATAAATTAGGGACTTCGCCTGACAACTAAATGAGGGCTCAGAAAGACTTCAAGCAAAAAGAAGTGGGGATACCACGGGATACCAAACCGCCAATTCCATCCAATTCCCACATGGAAACCCGAGGTCGGAAAATTACTATTATTGGGGGTTACCCTCTGGTAATGACTAACATAGCGAACTGGAAAGATCCACCATCTATAGTAGGTAAATCCACTATTTCTATGGTCATTTTCAACAGCTATGTTAAATTACCAGAGGGTACATAATATTGGGAGGGATGAGAAATTCCGTCTGTGACACCACCAGCCAAACATTTGGGCCCCAAATGGCAAAGCGGAGGCGCACATTGCTCAAGCAACTGCAGCTCTGAATCCTCTGGGACCTCCACATCTTCCAATTCACTGGGATCTCCTCCGGTGGGGATCACCTGCTTCTCTTTCTTGTCTTTTGGTGAGGTCAAATTTGTTTACTCCCTTCCATGAATATGAAATACCACCCCCACAAATCATGGTTTAGTATCTGTTCATTTTGGGGTCCCTTATTGGATTTGGTACTATATTGGCTATATATTCCCATTTCAGGAAACTTAAAACATCTTAAAACATCTTAAAACCATTACAGACCTTGATTCTTCATGGTATATGTTACCTCCTATCAATATGCCCTAAGATTTCAGGATGGCTAACCCTATATGTTTTGATGGTTTAGCCATGTTAAACCGCCATTTTGGACTGCCGACTACCTTAAGATTTCCTGGTCCTGGTCGTCTCACTCGCTTGGCTAAGGCCGACTTTGGCATGAGCATGGCCACCCGGAGCGCGGCTAAGCGTAGCTGCGCATGACTCGACTGGGCAGCTTTCCAGCAGTGCGGCATCAGGAGGATGGCTGAGCCGTCCCTGCAGATCCGGGTACGATTTTCTTCTGGAAACATCTGGAAACCACTCCATTGGCCTATGATTTGACCATGGTTCCACCATGTTTAACCTAGACATCTGCACAGGCATGTCAAAAGCAACGCTCGATTTTGGAAATGTCGCTCGAATTTCGTAACATAATTAATACGTGTATATACAATTATATATATAACATAATATATTAGTATATATATATATATATAGACATTAATCAGAGTCCGTTGGGCAACCGAAGTGGTCCAAAAATCGGTCATCCGACCTGGCGCCGCTCAGCGCATGGCTCAGCGCCACGAAGAGCGGCCCCGGCACCGCTTCGGCCTGGGCCCAGGCGATCGCCCAGGCGTCCCAGGCGCCGGCTGCGTGGCTCCAACTGGGCCAGCTGTCGCCGGGTGGAGCCGCCGCAGGTGCCTTGAAAACATGAAGTTGGAGGTGAAACACCCAGACATATAGAAATGATATATGACTTATATGACTATATGATGACTTATATGACTATATGAAGTATACATACATACATATATATATATATATATTATATGTGTGTGTGTTGACCATATAGTACTTTATATACATATGAAATGAGGAGGGAACATGTTTTTCGATCAATTTCAGGGGACCGTGGGACCCTGTGGGAAGCCAAGAAGAAAGGGGTGAAGTTCGAAGTTCTGTGAAGTTACCATCCAAAGTGAGGAGCTTGGCAGCTCGAGGGGCAACTGTCTTCAGGGGGACAACTTGCCTGTCAACTTTCCCTTGGACAAAGTCTGGGTTGCGACTACAATCAGTACACAAGTCACTCCTTAAAAAACACACACTGGACTGGTTTTAAGAATTGGAGCTGGTTCCAAATTGGTCGCGTCGAATCGTGCGGATAGTTCGTTCTGCAGGGTTTTAACTTAAAAGATTTGGCAATTCCTACCTGGTAGACCTTGTCAAGGCTGTATCCAAGAACGCAAGGTTGAAGAGGTCGAAAAGGTCGAAGCGGTCGTGAAACCAGATTTCAAATTGCAGTGCAACAGCAAAAAATCGCTTGCTGAAAATGGATAACGGAATAGAAAACAAACAGCGCATGAACAGAACCGAAGTCAACAGTTTTAACCAGTTTTAACCAAGCAGGTACACAACTGAGCGTCCTCAGTTGCTTCCCCTTCAGTGACACAGCTTCGTTGGGCAAGGTAGTCACTGAAGGCCTTGCCCCCCTGCATGTGTAGTTAACCATTCCCTGTGCTAGAAGGGTTTACACACACACGCCCCACGACGGGGCAAAACTTGCTATGACAAGTGTGAGCGCATGTAATTTGTAGAATGGCGCTAGCTACAATCGAACGAAAACTGCTCCAAAACTGCTCTATACCATGATTGGGTGTGGTAGGCGCCAGAATTGGCTGCTGCAGTAACAGAAACCTTGTTGGATGAACCTGCCAACCCTTATACCTGGGTAACGCCATGACTCCTAAGGACGCGCGTAATGTCCGGCGAGAAGGGGCAACAAAGTTTCGTGCGTTTATTTCGACCTATATCCTAGCGCACTCAGTGTCAAGCACGCTTGTGACGCCACATGTCGCACGAAAGCATCTATTTATTAAATTGTTCGTCTATTTAAACGTGAAATCCTGGGTTTTTCGGCTTTGCCCAGTCGCCATCACCTGTAGATGATTTAACGGATCAAAAGAAATGTGACCGTCATATCCGGTTGTGGTATCACATGTATGGTCAGCGCAGCGTTCTGCATTTTTTACTGCGCACATTCATCAAGAACGGTTGGAATCAGAATCTGTTCAATAATCCAGGAACGCGTCCTATCGGCGTGGTCAGTGTTGTTTCGAATCTTGGCCGCCCAGTTCCAAAGTTGTTGCTTCACTGCGCGCATTGTCAATCCGGAGCGCAACGCAATAACAAAGATCTTGAATTTGAGGAATGACCAGCGATTTTGGGTGTGTGTATCTGAGGACCATCAGTAAGCGCGCTGCAAATGCTGAAGACAAGGCAAGATCGGATCCTTGACTAATGCTGGAGCGATAGTGACTCATATCATGATGGAAACGAACTGTAGTGGTTCTTTGATCTGTGTCGACGTGTACCCCCAATAATATTGGGTCAGACACTTCTTCAAGCAAAATAGGCGCTCCATAGAATTCTGCATGTGTGAATACGGACCAAATAGGAGAACAACGCCATGATCCAAAGCCCATCATAGCCCGGTTATCCACATATCGGGTATTGCACAACAGTCGATTTGCCGCGATCATATCCTCGAATGTTTTGGAAAAAATGTGTTCTTGACATGCTGCTACGAGTCCGCATAACGCCGGGGCAAAGTGTGAACCCATACTAGCACCTTGAACTTGCTTAAACAGATGCCGACCAACCATGAAATATGAATTACGTAGAAGAAAGGAAACCATTGCAGGTAGATGAATCAAACTGACTTGCGTCGTACGATTGCCAGCTCGTCGATACCGACCACGAAAAATTCGTTGGGCAGATTCACGATCTTGAAGTTGGAAAGTAATAGTGCTGTCCAGAGACACATTGTACTTGTGACAATACACATGCAACGCATACCATACACTGTCGACCATTCGAGAATGTGGTACCGAATTGAAAAAACCTGAGAAGTCTTGTTGGTCCATGTTTATAGGCAGATGGCTCGGTAAATCATCAAACACATAATGAATTGCCCGCATGATTTGAACAACGTCTTTGTCCAGCGATGTCTCACGAAATAATGACCGAATCAGCTGTAATACTACCCCTCCAATGACTTCGCCTAATCGGTTGTTCCAACTGTTTGTATATGCAATGATCGGACGCGCCGCTTCAAAATGTTTGCTAGGTTTGGGAAGAATATACGCACATGGGCACTTTCCACCAGGTGAGGCCAATTTTCGCAAGTGAGGTGGAAGGCTATCTCTCAAATCGACCATAACTCGTGGGAAAACTGTGTTCCAACCGACAGAACATCTGACAAACACGTCAGGTGTCATGAACGTTTTCATGAGGAGGTGGTGATAATGATGTGGGCAACACAAATGAGCTCGATGAGGATGGTGATCAGCTGGGCAAATGACGAACCTTCTTATACTACGCAATTCACGAAACAGGGCTTGGAATGTACAAACACCGTCACGGGAAACTGCTTGGACATGTTGTTGCCAAATATAGTGACACATGTAGTTCCATATGGTTGTGAACCGTCTTCCTAGCCGCCATCTTTCGCACCATTTAGCAAATTGTTGTTGTGCATCTGTGATCCAGCGTCTTTGTGATGGAAACACGGTGTCAGCTAAGTTCAGATGTCCAACCAGTAACGTTGGAAACAACCCACTTGCTGTGCTGAACACATGTCCAGTTGAACGTACATGATCTCCATAATCAAATGTACCGCAAGCCATACATTCAAACACGCATTCGTCTGGGGACCAGCTCTGCAAGAAAGAATGGAAATTGAAAACGAAATCTGAAAAAGGCCTGTTTCGTCGCAGAACAACATGTGTGGTTGGTACATGAAACCAGGGAAACAAACAGGAATGATGTTGCAGCAGCTCTCGAAGCCACGTTCGAACTAGGTCTTTCACATCGCACTGCAGGGGCAACAGCAACATTGGCACATTCGCGGGGGGGGGCATGCCCACCTTTGAACTCAAGGCAGTTGTTTAGCGATCGTTGCGCACGCGTGCGCCAGGGTTCATCTATCTGGTGTACAAGTTTGTAAAGCATGTACAGAAACCCAAGGTTTACCTGCGAACTCCGTAGAACTTGTGCTGCATGGAACTTTCGTCGAGTTGTGCATCCTAGCCAGTACAACAGCTCGAACAAGTGTGTAGGCTGCTTCCACATGCGACTCATGGCAGATTCGTCCAGGGCACAGTTAGCAAGGAAGGAGAAACGATCGTGTACACGCTTGCCGGCTGTTTCACAAGGCATAGAAAAATTCAAAGGGGCAGCAACGCCGTGTTTCTTCAATAATGGATTGACAAATGGGTGGTTCAACATAGGCCTGAGCTGACCGATTAATGTCGTTTCTGCTGCTCGCAATGCAATTTCATCGTCAATTTGCTGCAATGGAATTATGATGAAATGAAAAAATGTTTGGGTGCTCTGCCAAATCTTCAGTGCTGGTTCAAAGAAGGCGTCAACTCCTTTACGCAGTTGCTCATACTTTCGATAGCGACTATATTCCCTATCCATAGGTGTATTTGTTGTACTGCCCACGTACCACCAGGTAGCGTGCTCTTGGACGCAAGAAGTTTTTAAATACACCCATCCTGGCGAGTGGAATTGCTCAAACGTAGAATTTCCTGTGATCTCTTGTGATTTGAGAAACCGTGCTAATTTGATCCATGTTTTCGTCGTGGTGCTGCACATGTTCTTCAACAGAACGAACCTGGTGAAAAGCATCGTTTCCAACCAGAGGTATCTCCGCATGGAGAAATAGTTGAATTGTTCAAAAAAGGTCTTCCGGACTGGTTGTATCCACCGGAAAAACTTGTGAATTATTGCATCTAGGACAAACTTCATTGATCCCATGAATTGTAAGTCAAAACTGGTCATGCATGCATCCGCAAAATGCGGACAAAGTCAGCGGTGCAAATGGTTCAAAATCGTGAGGAGCTTGAGAGCCTCCCCTGGCTTGAATTTGGTTGCATCACTGGGCTCCATGCCCCAACTCACCAACATCCGCTGTAGAGACGGTGCTTGGCCAGCATCGAGTTTCTCGTACATTTCCTTAAACTCCCTGGCACGTCGATCAATCTCAGCATGCTGCTTCGTATCTGGAACCTGCGACTTCATCCAAGAATTGATACACTGCACAGTATGGTTTTTGGGACCTGTGGATTCTAAATGGTTTGGGCGGTCTCGTACTGCCAGTTCTGTCAGCTTGCTCAGTGCCTGAGTTGTTGCGTTTCCTTGTCCGCTGAATGGCAATGTCTGTTGCCCTGGTTGTCGTGTGCTGTCTGCAGTACCTGGGGGTGAGGTGCTGGGGCCAGCAGGCGTGGGAAGAGCCTGGAGGGTGTGGGGAGGTGAATGGGATGGCATGTTCCTGCTTGGTGCTATCCCTGGTACTGCGGGCTCTGCTTGGGATTGATGCGAATTGTCAGCAGCACCTTGACCTACTTGCATACGAAGTCTGGCATTCTCCTCTTCCATTCTACGTAATCGTTCCATCAACTGATTGGAAGGGTCCTGTGGGAGAATGGTGCGGAACTGTTCCATGGTGAAATCGGCCAATGCTTCTAGGGCTGCTTTTCTGGCACTCCACTGTGTTAAATCTGTGGACAAACCCTGTTTGGCCGCAGCACCTGACAGTAGTTGATTGAAATCAACTTGCTGCTCACGAAGAATTTTCATAAGGGCTGATGTAAAGTAGCATTCTTGACGGGAACGAAACAACTCAAGGAATGTGGCTT